TCCTCCACTTCATTGGCCGCACCCAAGAAAAATCCACAACACTCTGGGTATGCCATTGAACCTGCTTTTAGAAATAAAAATAATACCACATATGTGTATTTTATGTCATTAAGTCATTGTTTTTGTTACATTGTGTTAGTTTTTTTTTTTTGCATTATTGTTTTAGTAGATTGTGCAAATAATTATAAAATATAAGAAATATATTTGCATTTAAAACTTTACATTTATGAAAATGATATTTAGCTAACAGGATAGGAAAATAAGGTTTATGAAATAAATATCACTTTCTTTTTCACAATCATGAAAACCAAAAATTACATTTCTATACCTAAATTCAAGACAGGCGGAATCACGCTGAATGACACGCATCCAGAATCGCTCTTTCTCGCACGCGATCCCAGTTCTTTCACAGCGTGCGATCAGTTCTCCTTGCACCTGAATTGTCAAATACACACACAGTTGTCAAAATGTCCATCATGTTGAGTATCTCACATAAATGCAGTCGGCTATGGCTTAAGTGAACGTAAACAGGTAGCTAAAACCTGATATGTGTCAGTAAATTATATCCATCCATTCGGTTTTAAAGGGACAGTTTTAAATACCTGTCTGGGTCATTAATGTTAATCAAACAACAAAAGATGTTAAATATAACATAGATATCATGAAATAAAATTTCTCATAATGTGGCCATATTGCCCCTGGCCCACCCATCCCGTATTCCACTATGAGAAATATGGTCACTCTAGCTAAAGCTAAACTCTGCATCCCTGACAATGTAGTATGGACAGACCCAAACATGTGTAACCGGTGTAATCTGTGTTGTGTGTTTTTTTTCAACGAGTAACCAGACAGACATCAGCTGACGGTTCGACTCTTCTTTTACTCTGATAAAACATAAAACAGTCTTTACAGTGTGTTTTCGCCCTTCTTGTCCTTTCTGTTAAATGAATGTAAAGTGCAACGCAATTAGCACGTGCTTCAAGTGCATTGATCGACAGAAAACTGATCAAACTTAGTGGAAATACAGAAATAATCAAATATACATGTAAAATAATGTCACAAATATGATTTAAACGGAGTATAAAAGTGATTTTAAGCAAATATGAAATTAGATTAATCAGAGCTCATTAAAAACCCACCTCTCCCATGCAGAGACAGTGCAGAAAGGGAAGAGGAGGTGCAAAGACAAAACATTTAAATTAACGCAGCTGTCAAAAATTTAAAGGGGAAGGTGCACACACACACAGACAGGCATTTATCAGGTACACATTTGAACATTTTTGTGTAATTCTACATATATGAACATAATACTTTCTATACCCGTTACATTCACCCCCCTAGAGTTACACAAAATTATGAGAACATGGGAAAACTCTGTACACAGGTCACAAGAATTACGTGGTCCACATACCAAACAATCAGTGAGGATTTGGCAACACTGGTCCACAAACTACGTTTCATATAACTCCTCCCCGAACTTCCCGCTGCCCTGTATCTTGGTCTCTCATTGGCTGTAGGTCATCGCCGATGTGTTTTTCAGTCAGAACTCATTTCACACAGCGTGATTGTGAATCGCAGACAGCTCCAGATATTTAGCATGCCAAATATTTCACGGGCGACGCGTCTGCGATTCCCTCAGATCGCGTCTTTGATAATTCACACTGTGTGATTGTCACTCGCGTGATCGAGCACCGATTTGCCTCCGATTTCGGGCATTTGTCGGCGATTTCGCAAAACCTGTCGGCGAGTGAAAAATCGTGCAGTGTGAACTCGGCATTAGTATCATTAAAGACAGTGCAATACAACACACAGACCTAAACATGAATAACAGGAGATCCAGACTCCATACCAAGTAAGGTCTCAAGTTGAACCATTGACTCAATTAATCTACGTACAGGTCTAATTACCCTACCAAACCTGGTAGTATAGTGATTGCTGGAGTCACCGTGAACCACAGGATCATGTGAATTGTTAGAAACAGGAACAGTAGGTGAAGAGGCACTGGCTACAGTGTCAAAGTCAACAACAGATACATCATCATGTGCCTCAGAAACAGTTTGAGTAGAATGGGATGAGACCCAAGCAGCAACAGGATCTTCATCACATACAGCTACATGAGAAATGACAGACAGAGACTCTGCATGTGACAATTCATCAGTGACTGGCATTGTGGATTCAGCCAGATCACATACAGACTGAGAAGGTGTGGAAGATGGACCATTACCAACAGTTTCATTGACAGCAAAATCAAACTCAGTCGTGGGAAAAGGGAGAAAGTTAACTGGCAACAAGAGATTCTGATGTACTACTTTCTCTCGACCAGATGTGTCACGGATTTTATAAATGTGCAAAGATGGGTTGGAAGAAACAATGGAGTACATGGTGAGCTCCCATTTATCGGCAAGCTTCCGTTTATCTCTACAGCCTTTGTCAGTTGGTGATCACGTTCTCGTTGCTAACAAAGGTAAACCCTTGACTCTCTTATTGTACTGCAGAACAGAAACATCAGTCTGATCAGTAGAGTTCTTTTGAGCCAGCAGCATAGCAGACTGCAGATCTCTGACAAGGGATTGAACATAGTCGCTGTAATCACAGATGGACTCATCACGAAGAACACTTTGAAACAAGGTCAACATGTAATCTTGGCACCCTCCCTAACATCAGGTAAAAAGGGGCAAACCCAGTTGTTTCAATGGCGGTGCAGTTTTACACGAATGTCATTGTTTGCCCTAACTGTGGCCACTTTTGTTTTGATCTAGGAGGAAGGGATCATAGCATGTTGCCCAATATTCTGTTGAACCTTTCAGTTCTGCCATTTCCCATTGGATGGTACGGGGAAGTTCATGACTTGTCTACACCGGAAAGATCAAGAAGTTCTGCAATCAGCCCGCTCTCAAATCTGGCACCTTGGTCTGAATGGAGACACTGAAGAAAGCCATAGATGCAGAAGAATTCATCCCATAGTTTCTTAGCAACACTCTTAGCAGACTGGTTTCGACAAGGAAAAGCGTGCGCTAGCTTGGTGAAATGATCCGTGATTACCAAGACATCCACAGATTTATTGTGCCTATCCTCAGCAGCCCAGAAATCAATGCAAACAAGCTCCAATGGGGCAGTGGTCTTGATGCTCTCCAAGGGTGCTCTTGCCGCTGGCTCTGGAGTTTTACTTGGGACACAACGGGTACAAGTCTTGACGTAATTACGCACATCACGTTCCAATAGAACCTCTGGTGAGCTAAGGACAGGGTACGTGGCTGACCTTGGTGACCGACCAAATCATAAACACCAGAAAGAGCTTGCTGTTTTAGGGAATCAGGCAGCACGAACTGAAACATCTTATGCTTTGTGATTGGATCTTTAACGGCTCTGTAGAGAATGTCATTAAGCAAAAACAATTTGTCCCACTGCTTCAACAATCTCAAAACATGCAAATCCTCATTCGTACACAAGGTCTGCACTTTCTGCTGACATAAAAGGCCACCCTTGAAATAACTGAATCATTGTACTGCTGACTCTGCAATTCAGACAATGAAAAGGCATGGGTTACATCTTGACAGTCAGGAATTAATGAACTCAAGTGATCAGCCAGGGATGTCGCTCTGGATACAGCTCCTGAATTCCAATCATCACAAGATAGACGACACATGCTCAGCAGTCATGGAAATATCCCTTTCAGAGCTTTGGTTGAGTTCAGTGTCAAGTGTCTGAGGCTGGCATGTAAGACGGAAAGTTTTCTGCACAGAATAATTTTCCATACTGTGTACGTGCTTCAGCAGTTCAGAGTAAGGTTCGGACAGAAGACGTTGACTCACTGGCTTGACAAATGGGTCCCAACTGAGCGCATCCGCCACCACATTCAACCTTCCAGGGACATACTAGATTTTAAAATTGTACGGGGCAAGCTTTGAAACCCAGCGCTGCTCACATGCATCTAACTTAGGTTTGGTCATGATATACGTGATTGAGTTGTTATCAGTCCATACAGTGAACTCATGGCCTTTAAGCCAGTGACTGAACTTGTCACATATGGACCACTTGAGAGCCAAGAACTCCAGTCTGTGTGCAGGGTAATTGGCTTGGCTGCGGCTCAGAGACTTGCTGGCGAAGGCTATAGGACGTGCTTTATCCTCGCCAGTGGGAACATGAGAAAGCACTGCACCTAGGCCATCCAACGACACGTCAGTGCAGAGAATAAAGGGGCGCTCAAAGTCAGGATGAGCAAGCACGACACTCTGGACAAGGGCCCTTTTCAACTCCTCAAAGGCGACATCACAGGCAGGGGTCCAGTCTTGGGGAGACAACTCTCAGAAAGTGCCAGCTCTATTACGACTGTTTGTGCCTCTCACCAAACGTTTTTGTCCAGCCATCATATTGAACAGTGGCTTTGCAATTCGTGAACATCCAGGGATGAAGCTTTGGTAGTACAGAACCACGCCCAGAAACTATCTTATTTTCTTTGGTGAAGGTGTGAAGCCATCCTCTTTCATGAGATCTTTCTTCTGAAAGGCAGAAATGACTGCTACTTTGTCTTCATCCACAGAAACTCCAGAACTGCTGATCACATGGCCCAGAAACTTGATGGAGCTCCTGAGAAAGTGACACTATTTTTGAGCCAACTTCAGATTACTAGCTCTCAATCTAGAAAACACCACTTCCAAGCATTTCAAGGCCTCCTGTTCAGAACGGTCAAAAACCAGCAAATCATCGAGATAGCAAAGAAGGCTGGAAAAGTTGATAGCTCCAAAAATGCTGAGCATCATGCGCCTAAAGGATGCCGGACTGTTACACAGGCCCTGGGGAAGGCAGTTAAAGGATGCCGGACTGTTACACAGGCCCTGGGGAAGGCAGTTATATTCATACAATCCCATGGGTGTTGTGAACGCTGTGTAATGCCGATCAGACACATGGAGTGGGATGTTGTAAAATCCTGATGTTAAGTCCATAGAGCTGAAAAGAAGATTGCCACCAAGAGCAGTCAGGCAATCCGCCTGATGAGGCAAAGGATGAGCATTCTTGATTGTCTTCGCGTTAAGCCAGCGAAAATCAGTACAGACTCTCATAGATCCATCCTTCTTCCAAACCATTACCAAAGGAGATGCTTATTTGCTGACGGATTTACTAATAATGCATTTTTCTTCCATTTCAGAAAGAACCTCTCTCAAGTTTTGGTAGTGGGCGGGAGGTATTTGGCAATAGGGCAGGCGGAATGGGCACTCATTGCACAGATGAATTCTGTGTACGAAGTCTTTCGCCTCTCCACAATCAAGTCTGTCTCTGGAGAAAACGTCATGACAAGACACTATAAGACTCGCCAACTCCTCCTTCCATGACTTGGAGACTTCACACCCATCGATATCAATGTCTTCCAAACCATACTCGCGCAGCAGCTGCACAGGGTCAACAGATAGAACGGGCTTGGGGAGAGCAGAATCAGTGACATCATGAGGTTTGCACATGCTTTGCGTGAGAGAAACATCTTCCACTGCCAGACAAGGGGACACGTCTGCCAGCTTGGTGTTACGTCGAAGAGTTATCGTAGACTGGGTAGGATTTACAATCTTCATCAGTACCCATCGATCACCCCACATAGGAGACACAACACGTCCAACAACAACATGACGGGGTGCTGAACGTGAAGTAGTGGGTTCAACAATGACGGTGCTACCTGGGGTAATATGAGTGTTGGCAGGTAATTTTCCCCACACAAGGTGCTCACTCCAGGGAAGTAAAGTGACTGCTTGACAAAGCTTCACTGAGCCAAGTTTTTCAGGTTGAGAGGAACCAGAACTACGGGAAACACAGCTCAAAACAGGGTTGCTGTTTTGACAGGAAATTAGTTCCCAGTACTTTTTTTCGTATTTCATCTTCTGAAGCACACATTTGATGACGTTACTGCCAATACTGAACTCGTCCTTCTGTCCAGGTACTAGTAAAGTAGGTACAATGAACTTAAATCCATAGACTTCTTCTTCCAGGTCATACGTGCACTTAGGCTAAATAGTAAGTCCACCACAGCCAACAAGGACCACATTACCAGGAATCACTGAGGGTTGTGGGAGAACTCCATTGGCACACAACTTGGATTCACCTTCTGTACTCAGGGTGCAAGCCATACTGGCCGCCAACAGTCACAGGAGCATAGAACAGATCACTAGTTCCATCACTTTTCTGAGACCCCACATATAGCAACATTGTCGGGTGGCAACAACTTGCAACTATTTACAAAAATTTCTTGTGGGTCTGACTCATCATTTAGGGGAAGTTCACCACTGCCCATATTTACCCCCTCCACACATGGGCTTTTTAGTTTAACTGGGTGGTAGGAGAAAGCGGTTCAAGGCCTGCCATCTCAGGGCAATTACTCTTAAAGTCTCCAGGTTTGAGGCAGTTACGACAAAGCCTATGGCACATGCAGTGAGCATACGTGGTGTGCTCTGTAGACCTACACACTCTACATGTTGAACTCACACTGGACTTGGGATCTGAAGTTTTGACGGTTCTATTAGGATGAGACGAGGACAGTGAGGTAGTGCATAGCGATAAAACTTTATCCATCATGCCAACCAAATGCTGCATACTAGCATTCGGAGTAAAAGGAGAAGCGTTGGGGTTGAGCTGACCATTTGAGCATGATGACTGACCTGATGAGAGTTCGGGCTGTTTGGGGAAATTGGGTACAGGATCATCACTGACCACCACAGTGTTCTTACCTGCAAGCGGACACAGGTAAGTAGCGTGTAGTTCTAGCAGAAGCTCTTTTCTGGTTCCTGCCGTGACAATCCAGTCGCTCTTGAACCTCAGCAGCACTCCACTGTTCAGCAGGCTTGAACTGAAAAGACAAAGCAAGGCCAGGATCTGGACAGTGAGAGACAAACATCATTACACCTTCAGCTGCAGGGTCTTCAATGCACTTACTGCGCCTACGCAAACACTCATCAGCCACATCAATTACCTTATTCAATCGTATCCAGTAGTCCATTGGGCTCTCATCTGTCTTAGGGAGAGTGTTGTTAAAATTTCTGCATTAAAGAATGCCCTCCCTCTCCCAAAACATTGAGGTGAAACATCAGACATTTTGTCAGTGTGCTGTATTCTAGCCCCACTACCCCTGCCTACTGGCAACATAGCACTGGGCCGTTGCACAGGACTAAGATTTTCCTGATTATCAGTGTCCTCAAACATGACTCAGCATCAATAGTAAACACAGAAAAATGCAATAAGTGCCTCTGAAAATGGAAATAAGAACACAAAATCACAAACTAGAATGCATATAATATATATATGTTGAATAAACATTTAATAAGACTCTTTCAAAACAGTTCAGAGTTCAATATGAAGGATACGATGTTCGACGGTCACTGAAGTGTCCCGCAGTCCTTATCACATTTCTCTCTCTCGATTAACATGCATCAACGATGAATAAAAGTTTACCGGAGAGAAAAGTCGTCGATCAGGAAGTCAACGAAACTCTTTACCGTTCCTTTAAGATGAAACAGACTGACCAGCAATGTCACGCACTGTTCATCTCCCACATGCTCCGAACTTATCCGTGAGAACGAAGCCGCTGCGAGCGATGGCGATTAGCCTATCGGCGAAGCCAGCGAGCCGTCATGCAACCACGGCGATCTGCAAAGCGCTGATCTGAAGATCCAAAATGGTCACGGGCACCACGTGTAACCGGTGTTATCTGCGGGGCACCACGTGTAACCGGTGTTATCTGCGTTGTGTGTTTTTTTTCAATGAGTAACCAGACGGACATCAGCTGATGGTTCGACTCTTCTTTTACTCTGATAAAACATAAAACAGTCTTTACAGTGTGTTTTCACCCGTCTTGTCCTTTTTCTCCCATGCAGAAAGGGAAGAGAAAATGGTATAAAACTTTCATATAAAATTAATTTAACGAGTGACAAAACAGCATACCTGATAAAACATAAAACAGTCTTTACAGTGTGTTTTCGCCCTACTTGTCCTT